TTGCATGTACACCATAGGAGTGTTAGAATGCTCAAAACCCATCACATCCTTAGCCTATCACTAGCATGTTGTTATAACATATCACAATATCAAATAACAGTGTGGTATTTTGGGGTCCCCTTACTAGCTCCAGTTGATCATACACTTCACATCCTCCTTTATTATTTTGAAAACCATTTAAAAAGCCTTTTTAAAAATCTTTTTCCTTAGTTTGAGACTAGATTCACATGAGTGTTCCTCCAATTCACTCAAACCAAGGCTCTGATACTAACTTCTAACATCCATAAAATTTAAAAAAAATTAAAACTTTTAAAACATTTCCACAAACCACCATTGTTTACAAAAAAGTTTTCAAACATGATTATTATCAGAGTTTCTCCCAAAGATCATAAAACAAAACATGAGGAGGTGCACGATCACACCTACGCCTTCCCGCGGTCCTCAGAGCTACCTAAAACATAATCCAAAACTATAAGCTCAAAGCTTAGTGAGTTCCCTAAAGTACCAACACACATATTAATATCACATAAACTCAAAATAGCATACTATGGGTACAATGAACCATCAGGTTGGAATACCCTAGGCCCCTAACCCATCGGGTTGGAATACCAACATACTTTGGGTCCAGTCAACCATCGGGTTGGAATACCCCAGGCCCCTCAACCATCGGGTTGGAATGCCAACATACTATGAGTCCAATCATCCGTGATGAAATACCCTAGGGCCCATTCAACCATCAGGTTGGAAGGCCCTGGTCTGTTGGCTCACACACAAAGCAGTAAAACCTCAACCATTAACCAAACATGTGCACATATAACATATAATCATAAAACAGTCCACAGACAATCAGAAAGATCTGCAGATCACATAACATCATTCTATATACTAGGATACTGACCTAACATGTCTCTACAGTACAATTGCATACATATCAGGTTAACAGACCAGAGGGTCGGTCTTGGTGCCTTAGACCCTATTAGTACCATGAGGAAAACTCACCTTGCAAACTGAATAAAACTGATGAGGTCCAACTCCAAATCCCACATCTCTGCTTGATGCCTAATTCCATCAATGACCAATTTCCATAAAAATCTCAAAGTACCCAAAATACCCTCAATGTCAAATTTGGTCAAAATCAAAGTCAACTGCCATGGTCAATAGTCCGTGCTGACCCAACACATCGTGTTTACCTACAAACACGTCGTGTTACGCCAACATCCATACGGTCGGGAGCCAACACACCGTGTTGGCTTGTGAACACGGTGTGTTTTCCCGAGTTCCAACAACTTAATGCATTCAGCTGTCTCCTTCGATTCCAAGGGATCTAACGCTCAAATCTAGCCCATAATGCTATTAAGAAGGATAAAGTTTCCAACTTTATCCCCCGGGGCTACATGAAAAGTCCAAACAATTCAACCATAAGGCTTGGAGATACAAGGACTTAACCAATAAGTACTTAATTCGTAAAGTTTAAAGCCCAACCCTTCCAGAAGAGATTCTAGCACCAAAACCATTCCAAAGGTTTGTGCTTTATAGACATGCATGTACAATGCATGTATTGAACCCATATTAGGTCAAAATGGTGGTTTTATGCCTAATCTCCATGCATGGCATCAAAACTTGACTATAGGCAAGATCCAAGACTCTACTAGGTCACCTAGAGCTGGAGATTCATAAATTGCAACCTTTATGAGATCTAATCATTCCAACCTTCAAGAACAAGAAACTAAAGGGACAAAACTCAAGATCTAGATGCATAGAAGAATAAAAATAGGAACTTGGACACTTACAAAGGTCCAGAAAAGTGCCAACTGAAAGATGAGGGCTTGCTTTCTTGATCATTGCTTCCTTCTTCCAACTTCTTCCTTATTTGGCTCCAAAAGCACCACACTAGCTCACAAATGAGAGGGAAATATGATTAGGGTTTTCAAGGGTCGATTGGGGAAATTGGAGGCTGATACAAGGCCATCTCCTTAGACTTAAGGAGATTATATAGGGTGCAAAACCCTGAAAATTAGGGTTTTCTCAACCAACTGCCAACACGTCGTGTTCACACTACAAGACACTGTATTGGTCCAAAAAAATACGCTGCCCAAAAGTTCTCAACATGCCGTGGTGAGGCTTCACCACACCATGTTGGAAGGGAAGGATATGCATAAATGGGAATAATTCCATATCTAAAAAATCGGGATGTTACACACGATGTGGTGGCTGCTGCAGCCCAAACCCATGATTATTAGGGTTCCTCCCATATTTAAGGACAATAACTTTAAGGTTAGGTCATTCTCTTCAGCCTCCACCTTCCTATTTCAAAACCTTATCCCTTTTGAGTGTTCTTGAGGTGTTCTTGGTCACTTGAAGGCTCATTTTTTTATGTTTTGGTGTGGAACTTAACGACCAAGTTGCTTGCAAAGTGTTTTGGTGAAGAGCTCAAGTGTAGATGTAGAAAATTGACTTCATTTCTAGACCATTATGAGTATAAAGCTTCAAACTTTACTTCTAGTTAGTTAGATCTAGCTTATGGTCCATTTTTTTATGTCTTTGGTCCCTTTTTTTGCTGGTGTGCTTGAAGTTGAGATGACTCCATACCTTTTTAAGCACTAAGGATTATCTTCTAGACCTTTTCTTGTTGGAAATTAGGTAGCTTGATCTTGTCCTTGGAGCCATGCATGTTTTGTGAAGTATTTATGCCTTTTTGAATTTAGGGTTATAGATATAACTTTGGGGTGAGGTCCTAATGGATAAAATTGGAAACTTTATCTATTAATTCATAGAGAAGGCCTATATCTGAATTTTTAGGCTTCGACCTTTAAGCATTAAGCTCTTAATGAAGAAATAAGAGTTCTGCTAGCAACCACGACATGGCCAAGGAGGGCCTACGATGTGGTGGAATGCTGATTCATAATTGTGTTCTCCTGACATTCCTACGACATGGCCAAGAACGGCCCACGACATGGTGATGTTCTGCATGTCGTCTATTTTTTCATGTCATGCCTACGACATGGCCAAGAGGTCTCTAAATCGTGGTGGTTGTTGACTTGGGTGGCCATTGACCTTCGTTGACCATTGATCGTTGACATTTGACCAGTTGTACTTGGGGTCAAACTTGGGGGATTTGGGTTGTTGATTGAGGATTCATCTATTTTGGATTTAGTCGGTTAGCGAGATTAAGTAGTGCAAGGTGTAAGATTTTTTTCGTGCTTCTCCGGTTCTTCAGTTCAGGTTAGTTTCTCTCTATGTCGTGTATCCTAATGTATATCCTTTGCATGATAGGATAGCGGTACTTTCAGAGTACAAGTATGCTAATTGACAAGGATAACTCTTTGTTATGCATGTGCAGTTTAGAACATGTGGTGTCTTGGTATGCTAGACTAGTAGGGTCTTGCATGTTGATCGTATGATACTGTTAGGAGTTTTGTTTGATTGGGGTAACTGGGGAAGACCATTTATCAGGATTATGTATGATTGACCAGTGAAGGAATTAAGTGAGAAGTGGTCAATAGTAGGGTAACTAGGGAAGGATAGTTGCCAAGGTTATGTAATATGCTAGAATATGTTATGTATTTATGTACGTGATTATGTGGTAATGGTAGCATTGGTTCTATGTAATTTAGGTTGGATAGCCTCAGAATTCTTAATCTAATGGCTTATTGTGATGTTCTTGTCTGGTTGTTTGCTCTCTGGTGGATCATCTGTTCGACACTCTGATCTAATCCCTGTCTACATATAACTTTTTAAATTGTATGTAAGACTAGGATTTGGTCCCTGGAAAGGACAAGGAAAGACTATGATTTGGCCCATAACATTCACTTGCGTTTGGAGTAGATCTGCTATTCCATATATGTTTGTTATGTATGATATATAGGCATGTTGAGAACAGATTTGGCAGGTCGGTGCTAGAGCCAAATCTGTGGATGCATTATATATATGGTGGAATATGTGGTATACTGGAAAACTCATTAAGCTTTATGATTACATTTATGGTTGAAATGTTTTTCAAGTTGTTCATGAGAAGAGCTCGGCGGGACTGTACACGTACATCGAAGATATCTGTTTCTGTGGTTGTGTAATTAAACTCTGATAATGTATGGCTTTAACAAACGAATGTTACTTAAAGATTTCTGAGATAAAGTTTTCACTTGGATAATTTATTTTGAAAATGAAAAATATCTTTGTAATTTTTTGGGACGTCACAAGTTGGTTTTAGAGCCTTGGTTTGATGGATTCGGGTGCGCCTTACAGTGTGTGTCTAAACTCAAACTATTGACTGAGATATTTTCTAAATAAGTTTCTGAAAGAGAATGCCTTTATCCAAGAAAAGATTTCCTAAAATTTTTTTATAACAACTGAAGGATGTGATTTGTATAGTTAGCCGAAGCTCAGGTAGTAAGTGATTCCCAATATACCCATATGATTATGTAATTGTGCTATGAATTGTTATGCAAGCTAGAATATAGGTTGTAGATCTGCTTAGGATATCATGCTAGAATTGGCTGATCTGTATAAATGCTTTGTATGCCTTTTATGTGTATTTTTGTATGTGTTATAAGATCTTTGGCTGATTTTAATATAGAGGTATGTTCGGTGTATGAGTATGTGGGAAGGGAAGAATTCCAAAGAGAGAGAGAGAGAGAGAGGAGAGAGAGAGAGTCTAGGAAGTGTAGTATTATGCATATGGCTAGACATATGCATGCATAAGATGAGTTTAGTAGAGTGATGTGAAGTGACTTGGGAGTCTTGGAACGGGTATGGATAGGTGTGGAAGATAGTATTGGGACCGTACTACTAAAAGCACAGGATCCATACTCAGGTCAAGGAAGTGCTACGGGAATATCGAGGAACTTATATTTGGGTATGCATAGTTTGGGTTTGCATTGTGCATTGATTTTGATGTCTTCTCATTATACTTTAAATTCATGATAGTGACCATTCGTGTTGGAGATTCATATCTGAGTGAGGGGGATGTCTGCAACATCATTGTTGAAGAAGTTTCAAGGTTCATGAGGGAGGTTATGCCTAGTTTGATCAGTGTTGTCAGGGATGAGTTGCTTGTTGAGATGGACAAGCACTTTCGGGTCCTTGGGACTTATTTGGAGGTCTGTGGACTCAGGACTCGTGAGGTTTTTTCAAGGAGTTTGATGCTTGTGGATCTCCTCGTTTCATTAGGAGTAGGGATTCGATCATTATCTCGCGTCGGATTACTGATGTGGAGAGTGCCTTTCGTGCCAAGTTTTGTCCGGTCGAGGCAAATGTCATATTTGCAGAGTGTCTTTTTCACAACGGAGCTAGGGATTGGAGGCGCGAGGTTGTTCATTGCCTCGAACCGGATGAGGTCGAGGCTATGTCATAGGAGGATTTTTTCATCACATTCAAGATAGAGTTTGTGTCGGCGATTGAGGTTCATGTTGGATTAGGTGTCTAAGCCCATAACTATAATTGATATAAACTTGAATTGATAGTAGCACAGTCCTTTTAGGTTTCCCTCAAACCTAGCAGTTGAATTGGATAGCTTTTAGAAAGAGAATGATTTATTAATTTATTATATGGTTAATAAATTAATTGGAAATCATAATAAATGATTTGTTAATATATTATGAGAATAATATATTAATTATAAATTGTAATATTTAATTAATAATTAATCAGAAATTAATTAGATTAATTTTGGGATTAATTGAATTAATTAAACGTGCAAGGACTTAAGCTGTAGTTGTTCAATAGTTGAACAAAGGGTTCCAGAACCTTCCCCAAAGATGGTGGACGATTTTGGAGGGTATTTTAAGGGTTTATAGTGTCACAACTAGCACTTTTGGCTAGGATATTCCGTCCTCACGTAAGTAAGGACTATTGTGAGATTGTGCTAACACTCCTAAGTGTTCAGTATGAGTTCCTAAGGAGCCATAAAGCATTAGAATGCAAATCTCTCCAAGTATAGTGAATCTCTCCCAAATCTCTTCAAGTAAGTGAAATCTCTCTCAAATCCCTCCAAGTATGTGAAATCTCTCCCAAATCTCTCTAAGTATGCAAAATCTCTCCAAGAATAGTGAATCTCTCCCAAATCTCTCCAAGTATGTGAAATCTCTCCCAAATCTCTCTTAGTATGCGAAATCTCTCCAAGAATAGTGAATCTCTCCGAAATCTCCCCAAGTATGTGAAATCTCTCCCAAATCTCCCTAAGTATGCGAAATCTCTCCAAGTATAGTGAATCTCTCCCAAATCTCCCTAAGTATGAGAAATTTCTCCAAGTATGGTGAATCTCTCCCAAATCTCTCCAAGTATGTGAAATCTCTCCCAAATCCCTCCAAGTATATGAAATCTCTCCCAAATCTCTCCACGTATCTCAAATCTCTCTCAAATCTCCCTAAGTACCTTCCTCAGTCGAAAACAGCTCAAAACCGGAAGAGGAAACCCCAAAAGGACCCCCTTGGTCCGGAACCTCTTGGTCCGGAACCCTCTTGGTCCGGACTACTCTTGGTCATGAACCTCTTGGTCCGGAACCCTCTTGGTCCGGAACCCTCTTAGTCCGGATACCTTCTAAGAAACCAAGAAGCTTCTTGCTTCGGAACCTTCTTTGCCTCGGAAGCCTCTCATCCGGACCATCTCGCAATATCCTCTCATCCGGAAGGCTAGTCTCGCTTCGGAAAGGTCAGCTGACTTCGGAACCCTCGGTCCGGGCTGCTGGCTTCGCTCCGGAATGAATCAGAAGACTTCGGAATCCGAGAAAGTGCTCCGGAAGTTCCTGTTTGCGTTGGAAATGTACTCCTTTACTCCGGAAATTAGAAGCTGACTCCGGAACTTCTCCTAAGCCCTTCGGACCTTCGCAGGAGCATGATCCCACTCCGGATTTTCACTATTTTCGAACTTTTTCACCATTTTAAGGCATTTTGACGCCGGAAATTACACCAAACTCGTATTTTCCCTATCCTAAACCCCTTAAACCCCTATTTTATGCTAAAATTAATTATTTTAAGCATATTCTTTATAAAAATAAATGGTTGGGATTTAGGAAAACCTTATCCTAAATCAAGAAAATGACAAGGAAGTTGACTTTGTGATTTGATGAAATCCTCATTTCCCATGCAAATCACAGTATTCCATGTTTTACCCACCAAATATCCATGCATGGACCACTAGATCCCCATGCACCAAAGATTCCTCCCTTTTCTAATACTCCAAAGCAACGACAGTGAAGGAGTTTAGACTCCACTTTTCTCTCACTTTTCTCATTTCCTCTCAAAACTCATCTCCAAGCAAGAACAAGAACTTGCTGAAAACAAAATTCTTAATTTCTCCCTGGAGTTGTTAGGTAAATTCCTCCACTCATCCAATATTTTATTATATTTCGAGATGAATCCATATTATTTTATTCATAATATGTGATGATCATCCTTAGGAAAGCATCCCTCCCAGGGAAGTTCCTCATCTCAGCAAGAGTTTAAGGTTGAGATCTTCACTCCATAACTCCAAACAACTCCTCAACCAACTCAAAGTGAGCTTCATACCCGGTCTTTTTCAATATTTTAATGTTTTTGGGGGAGAGTACAAGTCAAATCTTGCCTAAATACTTGCATACTTGCATGTATATGTATGTTTGTATGTGTGTGGTAATATTATTAAATTATTATTTTAGTAATATCCTCATGAACGTAAGATTTCACAACTTCATAAGAAACAGAAGATACTTTGTGTACAAAAGAGCCTCCCAACTATTGGATGTGTCCAACTTAAGCCCTTTATCTATGCTTTCATGTCAAGAAATAAAACTTATAAAAAGGAACCTTGATAAGATAACACTTATTCTAGTGATTTTCGAAAATGGGAACTTTGTGACTATTTTGCAAACTGTCAGGGGGTATTTTATAAATATTCAATATAAAAGTTTGCGTCAAGAAAATACACAAATAGAGCCTTTATGACAGAAATATTTGCATGTCATAAACTGCTGTCGTAAAACCTCCAACAACATAAGTAATGTTCTATATGTCATAAAACAGAAAATGCGTATCATAACCGGCAGTTATAAATTTATACAAATTATAACTTGACACTTTTTCTCTTGACTAAAATGACTTATTTTTCAATAAACGAAAAGGAACGAACACAAGCACCTAGTTAACGAGCACAATCAACGATATGGAACGAGAACGATATTTTTATTCAACAAGCACGAATTTCATTATTTATCTAACAAATAATGGATCTCTAACAATTGCTCAAAAGGTTGTTAATATTCTAGTCAGACAAATCTCAAAAGTACCTAAATATAAAAATATTAGTGTACGTCTAAGTCCTGCAAGGAGTTATAGCCAGAGTCTCTTGGAGGGAGAGCGGGAAGTTGTGTATAGATCTATACGGGGTTGACACTCCGCAGCTTCGCTGTTCGCTACAGCTAGACAGGCCAGTCTAGGGTGACAAATGTCTTTTCCAAACCGAGGGCGCCTGAGAAAAGCCAAAACAGGCACTTCGTCAGATTAGTATGGTTATAACGACTCACTAGAATATGTTATGTCATCTAGAAATTTATGTAAGGAAAAACCTCATAAATAAATTTTTGGCACGTTGTGTTGACCGTCCTATACATGATAAGTGATGGTCCGCATTTGTTGCGTTGACTGTCCTTTTTCATCGCGTAGAATGTCCACAATTGCCATGTTGATTATTTATCCTAACAAGTATAGAGTCGTAAAACTGCTATTTTTACAAATTAAAAAGCGTAGGACTCTATGGAAAACGTTTGTAAACGATTTTGAAAACGATAAATTAACCCACACATATACATAGTTGGAACTAGAACTTACGAATATTCATTAGCAGAAAATATAGGATTTTTTGGAGAAAACGATTTTCTACGATTTCGATAACGATAAACTAGAACGCACACTCAATTTACTCGATAAGAGGAACAAGATTTTCAACCATATTCTCTTTTTGAAAATAAGGGATTTTTCTGGAAACGGTTGACTATTACTATTCAAAAGAACTATTCTCGTACACAACTCGCTTTTACAAATCACACTACTTTTCAAAATCACTCCTTATAAGGATGAATAAAAGTAATTACATGCACACACATATCCATGATTTTCAAGGCAAGACTTCAAACGATTTCATAGAAAATATCGGATTTTCTGAAAGTACGATAAGAATGATTCTAAACAAGTGTAAACGATTTTGTACAAAAATGCTTATGAACTTACCAACTTTTTAGTTGACGCTTTTCAAAACTACTTGTATTCTCAGGGATCTAGTAAGCAGGTAACAAGGGACACAGATGCAAGACTTTTAGCTGTAGCTTGGATTTTTCTGCTTATGTCTCTTTTGTGTAATTCAAAGAACAAATACAATATGTAAACAATGTAAGTTTGTTATCTCAATGTATGATGTTTGGATTGCTCTGTTTCACTTATATTCAATTGTTATGATACTGCACAATGAAGTCACCCGCCTCCGGACGTTTCCGACGTCTGGTCCGGGGGTGTGACATATAAAATATCCTTAAAGATAATTAGGGAATTGGATACTTACCTAATTTGAAATATTAATATAATATTCAAATTAGGGTTTCTAGGGTTTCCTACTACTGCTATAAATAAGGTCCTAAGCCTCATAATTTCGGCCAAGCTTTCTTAGAAAAGCTAGGGCCAAAATTCTAATCTCTCTCTTTTCTCTCTTCAAGCTCCTTGGTCGCTAGGGTTTGTGTGTGAACCATTAGAGGCGCGACACATGTGGCGCTTTCTTCCAAGAGTCTTTCAAGGAGGAATTCATGATTGTTTATTACAAGAATCTTAAAGGTTAGTTTTCTTGTTCTTATAAGTTAATTAGATCATAGAAAAGTTTTATAACCTAGGGTTCATAGTATGTTGCTTTACCTGAAAGACATATATCCGACTAGGTTGCATGTGCCCTAATCAATTGAATTGTTTGATTGTTTTCCACTTAAGGCATTGTTGTTGTAACCCCTTAAACGCATCAGTGGTATCAGAGTCATGGGTGTTCTTTCATGTATTTACACATTTGTTAATCGCTTTTCTGGAAAAACCAATCTCACGACGTGAGCATAGCTGTTCACGACGTGAGATCTGATAAAATCTGAATCTGTTTGTTGTCTGACTGGTCTCACAACGTGAGCTTAGAGGCTCACGACATGAACTCAGATTTCTCAGGATTATGTTTAATGTAAGATCAATCAAAAGAAACAAATTTTTTTCGAAAATTTACTTCTCACAACGTGAACATTATGGTTCACGGCGTGATATTAGTTTTGATCCGAAAATTTGGAGATTATCCACCTATTTTTGTTACATATAATAATTATCTGTTATGTATATCTTCCAAACCAGATTTTGCTGAATATTTGGTGATAAACAGAATACCTAAATGTTACGAGATAATTATAGATTGGATAATGATAATTTTATTTGATTAGAATTATCTTTATGGATGTTAGAGTTAACTACACGAATCATTCCTCGTGAAGGTGTCAAAAAGGCACATTTCGTCCCTATTTTTAAAAATTAACTCGGACCGTCCTTTGTTTGGTTAAAAATTATATGTTTCATCCCTCATTTATTTAAATGTGCACGCTTCATCCCTTGCGATACATGAAATGAGTATTATGACCTTTTGGTATTTCTTTTTCCAATTAATTTAATGTTCTTCTTCTTATTATTATTTTTAAAAAAAATGATAAAAAATTATGACCCCACTTTATCTATGTATTTCTTTTCCAATTAATTAAATGTTCTTCAAGATCCAGATCACCATCTTCGTTCACAAATCCGGTTCCCGACGCCACTATCGATCACCATATTCATTCACAAATTTGGTTCCTAGCACCACCTCCGGTCACCATCTCCGTCCATACATTTAGTGCCCGGCAGTAGATCCGGTCACCATCTCCGATAATAAATCCACTACCACAGAAATCACCCCAAACTCAACACCAAGTTACCTAATATACATATAAACGTGAATTTGCAAGTCAAATACAAAAGGAAAATCCAATCTACAACTTACACCCAAAACCAAAATCAAACCTGAAATTCAAATGCAAACCCAAAATCAATCCTTCAATTCAAACTCAAGTGCAAAACAAAAATCCCTAATGCAAAAATCGCGGGTTGTTGTGTTTTGCTTTTCTGAAATTGATGCCATTTTGGAAAATGAAGCACTTGTTTCATCGTAGGAAGTGTTACAAAGATGGATGAAGTTGTGTCGGGTGGTGAAGATAACCTATTTGCTAGATTATTGTCGTCGATTAGGGAATGTGAACGCCGGAATTCCACACGCAGTGTACACATTAGTTCCACACATAGTGAATGCCGAAGTTCCACGTTGGAGTTCCTAGCTCTACGTGGAAGCCATGGAACTATGGAAGCTATGGAAAACGGGTATGACACTGAACCTGTTAATCTCCAAATCGACTTTGAAATCTATAACCCTAAGAGTTTGTATCCAGTTCGTGCGCTGCCTCCGGGAAATGTGTTTCCCAAGCGTACAAATTTGGACATTGCATGTTTGAAAGTGTCTCTGTTATAGCCTTCAACCTTCGTCTACTCCGATTAGATAATAGATTATGAAGTTGTGATCTTTGTTACTCTGATTGAAAAATAGATCATGAAATCCCTAAGCAGATCAACAAACTACAGATCGACCGACAAACCATAGATATAGAACAGATCCAGAACAGGAAGACCAAGGTATCTTGTTCTCAATCGAACGCACCCCTCACCGGTGGTGGAGTTGGTGCTTGTTGGAGCTAAGAATGTTGACAGGGGAGATGGCTGTGAGACAGAGTTGCTTCGTGTGATTTATGTTCCTCAGCCATTTTCTTTCTTCTTCAAACTCTCTCGACATTCAAATGAATATAGCAGCACTGTAAAAGAAGATGAAAATGGGAATAAATTTTGGTGGTGATGTTTTGGTCTCGCCGGAGAGTAGAGACCACGAAAGGAAACTAGGGAAAAAAAGGTGGAGGGGTTGGTTGGTATTGATATGTTTTTTCTTTTAATTTTTTTAATTTAAAAATGATAAACTAATAAAAGAAATTGTTTAGGGCAAAATAGTCTTTTTATGTCCGGAAAGATGAAGTGTGCAAGTTTTAAACAAACGAGCGACGGTACGAGTTAATTTTTGAAAAAAGGGACTGAACATGCATTTTGACATATGTATGAGGGATGATTCCTGTAATTTACTCTGGATGTTATTATTAATTTAAATAATTTATTAATTAAATGATAATTAACAAATCCATAGATGGCTTCAATTTAATTAAATTAAAAGTTTAATTTATTAAAAGATTAAACCCTTGCTATTTTAAAATATTTTAAAATGCACCTTGTACTATGTATGTATAATTAAGAGTTTAATATATATTATATGTATAAGAGAAGAGTGAGTCAAGCCTCTTGTACACCTCATTCACGAAGCCATACGATAAGGAGAGTTTAAGGAAGCGGCCTATAAAATGACCGTCATTGGGTAACCATTCTTACCTACCGCTCTCTTGTATGGTGGAGGGTCGTCAGCCAAACGGGTTTGATAGGACATAACCTCGTTAAAAGTATAATGATACAAAGTAACTAAAATATTTTCTATAATCCCACTCTTAGTTATTTTAGCAAAAAAGTGAATTTGATGTCAATCCATGAAATTGCACATTGCACCTTATTGGTCGTTAGTGGAGCATGTGTGGTTAACCGACACACTAATATGGATTAATAAGGAGTGGTGATGGGTGTCTTGTAAATTATCAATGATTAATGGAGCATGTGTGGTTAACCGGCACATTAAATTCATATGATAAATGACATCGACAGTACCAATCTAATTTGCATGGTTATTCACATCTCGTTTGTGATCCTCGGCATCCCAGTCACAAAGTGAGAGTATAATCGAGATTAAACATTCCATTGAATAGTTCAATGAATCTCAAATATCTAGGAGTTTCAATAAGATTGAAATTGTTAAAAGCTTTACCTACCTAAAATAGATTCGAATTTTATTACGACATCCCTCTTCAAAGTTCGAATCGAAAATATGGATCCTAGCCTTAATTTAAATTTTGGGTTAATAATTAAGGATTAAAATCGGCTAACTTGAATTCTCTTATCTATTTTTATAGATGTCAAGTCCAGACAACATTAATGTTCTTCTTCGTTCTTTTGTAAATGTTTTTCCTATATCTGAAGATGATCTTCCACATGATGATAAAGGTGAAACAATGTTCCCTTCTTCAAGCAATGATGGAACTCAAAATCATGCTTCTCCAAATCTTCCTCTTCCTCCTCCAGTGACTCTCCCTAAGTCGTGTTTCCTACACGCTAAAAAATATGAAGTTACGCAATCCCTGTTGGCATGTAAACATCAAGATGGAAAGTCTGTGTGTGCGCATGTTCTTAAAATGAAATGGTATATTGTCAGATTAGGGATGATGGGTGTCGTTTTCCCAAGGGATCTAGCCATTCACTTGGTTCTACTTTCGCTTCCTAAGTCATATAGTCAGTTTATCAAAGACGACTATATGAGGGACCACGACATGACCTTAATTGATCTAACATATATTTTGATTACTGCTGAAGCATAAATGCTTAAAATCACAAGTCAAGCAAAATGTTGAAGGATCTGTCTCCCAAACTTCCATGGACATTGATAATGGAAACAATGGTAGTCTAGAAAAGGTTTCTCTTCCCAATAGAAAGGGATCGGCCAAGGTCAGACCATTTGACCATATGGTAAAGAGAAAGGTTAGTTCTGATATAGTTCCATGTGCTATTCCTGAAAGGTCCATATGTTTCTATTGCCAATTAAAGGGGCATTGGATGCGAAGCTGCCCAGACTACCTGAAAGATCTTAAAGATAGTAAAGTTAAGTTGTGTGACTCCATTTCAGGTACATCTACTATCTAATTTCATTAAGTTCCTATTCGTAGATTCTTAATACATGATGTAATAGTCACATTTTGATGTTTTACAGGATCTAAGAGAAAGGAGGAAACTTAAGAAGAGTAAGATGATTTTGATCGTAAGAGATAGATTTCGGTCACATGGTTCGATGATCAGGATTTGGAGCTGCTGCTTAGGAGTTATGATAATAAATTGCTTAGGAAATGTCTAGGTACATAGTTTTCATATTTTTGCATTGTAAGGACAAGTTCCAAATTTTCGTTTATTATCAATAAAAGTGAAATTTTGGTTTACATAGTTTGTTATATTTCTTTGCAATGGCATTTATGAAAATTGGTGGTTAGATTTCTATTATTAGCAATGTTAAATGTGGATTTGATTCTTAGTTATATCATTTGTGTTAATTTTATAGTCAACCAAATGAAAAAGGAATTCTCATCAACCAAGTTTCAATTGGACAGAAACTTGGAGTCATACAATTCGAATTGTGTGATATATGAGAATCTTGATCGTTGGAAGATTATGACTAATTTGTTGATCACATGTTTAGGTGAGTCAAGTGAAGGACTAAAGGATCTAGTACACATTGATGTGGACTATTTAGATCCACCACAAAGGACAATAAGTCTATTCGTCATCATTTATTGATGGTTCAGTAAATATGGTTGTGTTTATAAGATTAGACATAATTCTAACACTTTGAAAAGTTTTTAAAGATTATTAGAACGAATAAGAAGAATCTATTAGGCAGAAAGATAAAAGTTTCTCCCATCTAAAATAAGAGAATAGTACTTTAGTATCGTGTTTTGTGATCATCTTAATAATTGTGGAACTATGTCACAGTTGAGCCTCGAAGAACATCTTAGTGCAATTGTTTGACTAAGAAGAGGAATCAAATATTGTTTAAATGGTTTAATCGTGAGATGAGTCATACTTCATTTCCAATCAAGTTTTAGAGTCATACTCTAGTAACTAAAAATCGTATCTTGAAGCTTATTTCATGCTAAGTAGGTTTATAACACCTAATAAAATGTGGAGTAATAATGTTTTCTTACTCTCGCACATTTGAAATTGGAAACTGTGATGTTTTTTTGTTTAAAAAAAACAAAGGATGAAGACAAATTTAATGAAGTGTTTTCTTGGCGAGAATCCACACTAACTTTTGAATAATTGTTTTTGCTCGTCAACGAATGCTCCTTGAGAGAGAAACTTATATGTCACGAAGTCAGTGGGGATCTTCTTGATCTTGAAGATAAAGAGCAGGTGTAAGATCAAGCACCGTCAGTTAAGAAATCCAAGAGTTAGATACTCATTTGAAAGGACATAAGAGTTACGGTTAGTACCAAGGATGAAAAGAAAATGTTAGGAGTCATTATACAAGCCCTGTTTTGTTGATAATTTCGGGACACACATCCTAAAGGGGTATACAATTGTAACGCCACATTTCTCGCTAAACATTAATAAGATGATGTAATAGTTAGGGTCAACAATTGTAACCTATTTGGTGTAATAAATAAGAATTATGTCAATATTATGTATATCATGATTATTATAATATAATAAAATAGGAAAAATCACCGGAATCGCCCGTAAATCGTAAAAATAAGTTCGTCAAAACATATATATATATATATATATATATATATATATATATATATATATATATATATATAATATTTAGAAAGTATATGTCGTCTTGATCCCGAAAATATAAATTTCGTAGAAATCCGACTCCGTATGAGATATATATAATTTTTATCAGATATATAAAAGTCAGTCGCGCACAATGACTGTATCACGTAAAAAGCTATGAAGAGAATGATTGACTTTTATCTAAAGCCACTAAAAAGAAAACCGTAGTACTATTTAAAATAAGAATTTTGAGAAAAAGTATGCCAAAAACGGAGTTAGTACGAGAGACTTATGATTTTAGCAAAATCATTTAATTCTACAAAAATATGTACAAAAAATAAATTCAAAATTAGCCGACAGAGTCTAAACGAAAGTTGTAGATCTCGTTGATAGCTACGCGTGGATATAAAGAACGACAAAAACGGAGTTCATATGAACGAGTTATAATTTATAATAAAGTATAAATCATATATATATATATATATATATATATATATATATATATATATATATATATATATATATATATATATCATTAGAAAGGTATCAACGATGCGGTCGTTATAAGACTAGTGTTGAATATTTTCGACATTAGTTTAGCACAAATATCGTTAAATCTCTTTAAAATAATATTATAAAGGGGTGTTTAGTCGTTTAAATAACTATAAGGTCATTTAAGTAACTATAGATGATGGTTTTGGAAGATTAAATTACTATAAATAAGAGGCTCTAGGCTCTTATATTTCTTGCACCATTCTCTTGATTCCAGAGTCTTTCTTTTCTTATCCCCGAGCATTTCGGTCCCTCGTGATTCGACTTCTCTTTTTTTAAGTTTAGTGTAGTGAGGTGAGTGTTGAAGCGCTACAAGAATCTTTCTAGAAAAAAAAGATTCAGCGACGAAGTTCTAACCACAAAGTTCTAAGTGTTTGCTAGAAACACTGTAAGTTGAGCTACACTTATTACGCTTTAAGTGTAAGTTATTTTTAAATTCATTATCGTTAT